TAGAGCCCTTTTTACATCAGCTTTCCGCACTGTTACAGTTTTCTGGAAGTTTGTTCCAGATAAGTGGAGCATAGGAACTAAATGCTGCTTCTCCATGTTTAGTTCTGGTTCTAGGTATGCAGAGCAGGCTGGAGCCAGAAGACCTGAGTGGTCTGGAGGGTTGATAAACTGATAGCAAGTCTGTGATGTATTTAGGTGCTAAGCCATTCAGAGATTTATTTTAAAGTCTATTCTCTGAGATACAGGGAGCCAGGGTAAGGACTTTAGAACTGGGGTGATGTGCTCTACTTTCTTAGTCTTAGTGAGGACACGGGCAGCAGCGTTCTGGATCAGCTGCAGCTATCTGATCCACTTTTCAGGCAGACCTATGAAAACACCGTTGCAGTAATCAATTAGACTAAAAATAAACGCATGGATTAGTTTTTCCAGATGTGTAAGTTCTGTTTTTTTTAAGATTCAGGTGCATAAAGAATCCAAATAAATATCATGAATATAAAAGAACAAATTTGTGCAGAATGATTATTTTTTTCTTTTTCATGTTAGATAAAACTTAGAAAATCAAGCCTTACAATGAGAACTGTATATAAGTTAGGAAAGGATAACAAACTTTAACTGTTAATAGTTCAAATTACAGAGGACAGAGTAGTCAGAGATTTGACTCAAGTAGGAGTAGCAATACTTTACAAGAATATTACTCAAGTAAAAGTAAGAAGTAAAACTACTTCTAAAAGTATCTTTTTTAAAGTGTTACTCAACTAAATGTGACTAATTACTATCCACCTCATGCTTACCTACAAATAATCGATTTAGATATCTCATTCGAAGGAACTAAGGTTACATTTAACCATTTAGTCTATTCTTAAGAAAGTATATGTATTTTTTTGTATTTTTAGTAAAAAGTCAACGCTTTCTTTGCAGCTTGGAAACATTTTAGATTGTTAATTTGGTCTGACATCATAAAATGTTTTTGGAAACTCCTGCTGTCCATCACATAGTGTAACAGTGCACTGGCACTGAGCTACAAATGTAGCCCAAAATAGGAGAAAATGTGTCTTTTAACAGTTATTTTAGACTGCACTGCACTCAATCCAGAAATTCTTGTTTCATAATATATGTTTTCTTTTTCTCCCAAACAATCTTACTTTACCATTACTATATGATGTGTCTTTTATTGTGCTTCACTGTTATTATTAAAATAAACATTAAAACTGTAAAGCTTTGGACACAGTCAGACTTATTCAGCTCACTACTGCAGCTTTTATTTACTTCCTGGAGTATGATTATATATTTACATTATTTGCAGATCACAGCTCACATTTTCTTTCAAAACAGAACTTTTAACGCAATTAGCAGCAAGAATACTGTGAAGTTATTTCACATATTTTACTTGTGATAACTTTATATTTACAGCAAAAAAAAACAACAACAAAAAAAACACTGGGATGTTGTAAAATCGTCATGTCTGAGGTATTTTATTTTTATTGTGAAAGGTTACTTTAAAAAGATGACCCTCTAAAAAACAAATTTTATCCAGGCTCCTGAGTCCACTTATTGTAGTTCCCATAATCA